TTCCTCAGAATTTTACAGTAATAAAACATCAAAGCAGACTATAAAAGTCTATATATTGTCACGTTGATGAAAAATCATATTCCCGACGTAGGGTTAATCATTCGTAAAATATAATATCAAAAAGAAAAGATATATTTAAAAAAGTACGACTTCAAATGTAATTTAATCGTTGAGAATCAAGTAATACCGCGACATTATAGAACAGCTTATTGCAAGTAGAAACAGTCGGTAATAGACAGACACTTCAGTCAATCGTATTCAGAAGCACGCGCGCTCGATGAATTTTCAAGTATAATTTCCTCAACGAACCTTCGTGGGAATAATTTTGTTCTTCCCTTTTTCTCCATTCACTTTAACACCGAAGTCGCTAAATTCTTACCGCGAAATTAATGCAAAATTAAATATAATGATAGTCCCTTCAAGACAAAATTGGAAACCTCATAAAATATATATAAAAAAAGCACACATAATAAAGAATATAGTATAATAGCAACAATGGTAACTAAAGACCACAGTAGTTGATGCAATTTTAACACTAAAACTAACAGTTAAGTTCTATTGAAACGTTAATTGATTTACAAATTAGTTTGCGCATTGCTGAACCAATTTCTTTAACAACTTCTCAGAGAAACATCTGTTATTTCTTTAGTAATTCCAAAAAGGAGTCTGATAGTTTTAGTGTTAAACATGATTAAAAAAGAAATAGCTCTTTATCTAGCCACTTCAATATTTCTTACTCTTCACATTGTATTCTTTATAATATATTCAATATCATTGTAAGAAAATGCATAACAAAGATAAACGCTCCTGTTTCCCGTTGCAACCTTCTAACCAGTACAAACGTACCACTGTTTCAACATTCTCTTTCACAAGTTGTTGTATGACTCCATTACTGTGTAATTTGCGCAGCTTTAAATTTCACTTTGGAGAAATTCTCGTAGCCGTGGAAACGTGCTTGAAAATTTTAATAAGACACTTCGACCGAAGATATCACGCTACGTAAACTAGAAGTTCCCTAAAAAAAAAGAAAAGAACAGAAAAGACAAAGAGGAAACACGTGCACAAACATGATACTGGTATCCGACGAACCAATGAAAAAGTACGCAATTCCACGTGACCGGCGTGAAATCCGTTAACAATCGACTGTTTTATATTTAGCAACTCATCGGAGAAAGAGAATGAATGAACGCAATGAAACGTGATTTCCCGTGACCGAAACGAACGCGTGACCGGCGGAAAGAAGTCAATACTCCTTTGATTCTTCTTCTCGCGAGATAACCTTAGGAAATTCGATTTTGCAGAAATATTCGTGATTAACGACTAATTTGAAACTATAAATTGATCTTAAATTCACAGTATAATCTTAACACATTTTGGAATTCCACGTTTCAAATGAAAGCGGCGTTTATACTTTTTCCTCGTATCTATCAACTCGTTCATAGTTTATTTACAGTTGTGTCTACAATTTATTCGAAGCGAACCAAGTTAGTGAAACATGTTTGCAATTAATTCTGGAGCTATTACAAATTTCCATCTTTCAGGTAAAAGCAACATTCAACTTCTTTCTTAGATTGATTCACAATTTCGTAATTTATTCATCCGTTACATATATAATTCACAGGGAGTGAACCAAATTAGTGAACTGTATTGAAACATGTTCATAACTGATTTTAGTATACTTACAAATTCCGTGTTTCTAATACAAGTAACTCTTCAACTTTTAGTAAATTTATAAAAATAAGTCGAATTTTGGGGAGTTTAATTTGAATTTATAAATAAAGATTAGAATATTCATTTAAATTCAATTAATAAGAGTTATTAACAAGTAAATTTTAAAGATAACCAATTTAACTTCTCTCTTGTATTAATTCATACCCTATCATTTCTGTGTTCATTATATCCGTAATCCACCCAAAGTGAACAAAATTAGCGATCTTCATAATTCAATTTAAAATAACCGCGAATCCCATGTTTTCAATAAAAGTGATACTTAACTCTAACTGCAACTAATTTAACTTCTTCCTTTATATCAATCCATCCCCCAGAATCTCTGTATTCATTCTATCTACAATTTATTCAAGGTAAACAGAACCGTCCGAGCATTACGTTCGAATTTAACCCTTAGCATTCCAGGTTGTTTTGTAATCTATCAGCAACTGCAACTAATATTTATAGTATTCCTAGCGAAAATGAGAAATGCTATAACATTTCTTTGATCTTTTATTTTCCTTCTTAGTACAAAATTCGGATGTGTGGAAAATCTAATAATTTTAGGGTAGTTCCTTTAAGATTCATTAAAATATTTAATATTATAACTGGTGCAATATTGTAGCCTACAGAGTTCAAAGGGTTAAAACTAACGAACTCTTTTATTCAGGAAGACGACGCAGGAAAATGGAAAAAATATTCCCGCGCGGAATAATCCTCCGCGGCAAAACGAACGCAGAAAAATTGAGCCGGTCGCCGGAAAACAAGCATCGTAACCAGAACGCGTCCACGTGTGCGTGCCTGTGTATACGTATGTATGTTCGAACAGCTCGTTTCCGAAATTTCTTCGGTGGTCTGGCGAGTATCAAGGTCCCGAGCGTAAACAATCCGATCGGGTCAAGATTCACTTGGCCGATTTTATCGTTGCCAACGGAATACCTTCATCTATTACAGATCGGCCGCGCCTGGATCCCACCGAGCCCGTTAGAATAGCTGCATTCCGCATATCTCGTGTTGACATGATCCAAATTTTTTTTGCACGATAGTAAATCCGAAAGTTTCCTTCGATCGAGTCATGAATAAATCCCATCCCCCTTTTTTTAAAATACCGCTCCACCGAACTTCCAGATTGATTCTGAATACGTTACACGCAATTGTTGTTGAATTTTGATGATAGAATATTTCTATAGACAAAATATTTCTATACGGGTAAATTATTTCTATAGACAAAATATTTTTCTAAATAAAATATTTTTTTAAATAGAATACTTCTATAGATAAAATATTTCTACCATTATTCTTATTTAAATTTGATTTAGTAATTTTTTCAATAATACTCCGATAAAAGTTAATTCAGTTCCTGTTGCAAAAGGTTCAAAATAGCAGACGTTTAATTAAAAAAATAATTATTTCAATGAAGTCACATACATTTAATGTAGCCATTATTATTCATAAATTTTATTCTGCCATTGTCCGATGAAAACGTTTATCAACCTGGCAATCCTGTACGTAATTTTTATTTTCATCGGTGAACAAAAGGATTGAATTTTCACGATGATTCACTTTGAATGATCACTTTATATTAACTCTATACGAATCGCGATACTTTTAAACGAATAATCTCGACGAAATTTCATCGGAATCTCATTTTGAAACGCGCGAAAGTTATAAAAGTGACAAAAACAAGTTTTGCTTGTGGTAAATTCTGAAACAGCTGCATGTAAACTCTATAAAATTAACTACCGGCATGAATAGTTGCCGACCATTTGTTTCCCATTAACCTAATACAAACAGGGACCAACTTGATTTAGCCACAAACTGACGAGTTACGTTGCCGGCGTAAACTTTCCGAGCAGCACTTTTCCTTTTTCCAAAAATACAATTCAGCACAACAGAACGTTGCGCAGAAGCAACACGCTCATTGTCTATTCCCCTTTTCATGATATTTTCCCCTCGTTTTAACCAGTTAGGTGTCGCGGCCTCTTTGAAAAGTGTATACATGATGTGTCGCAAGAAGTAAGTAATACCTGTTTTTGACGAGTATAGTTGTCATCACACAAATCTTGCTATTTCTTCATAACGAATATACTCGTCATACCACAAAATCTTGCTATCTCTTCGTGACGAGTATACTCATCAAAAACAGGTAACTGATTAAAACCTCTTCCCATTGTTTGCAAATTACATAATTGTTTTCGCAACGCCTGGACAAAAACGTTCGAGGATATTTACTCGAAGACTAAAAATAAAGTCTTGGATTTGTTGCAAAACGTTTGCAGGAACGTTTTCCGCGTAACAGCGAAAAGGATAGTCATAAAATGCCTGAATCAACGTGAAAGATGGACATATAAAGGTTTATTTCCATACTGTTTTTACGTCAGTGTTAATTGATCGATTCCTTTAAAATTCTTGAAGTATTAAAGGTGTAAAAATTTATAGCTTCACTTTCTAAAACACACAATTTTCTGGAAACGTTTAATTGGTTTAAACTTTTCACCAGGAATGCGTAGAAAATTGGAAACGAATTGCTGGCGAAATGAACACCAGCCCAAACGTCTGAAAGTTGATCGAAGAAACACTAGGCAGCCGCAAAAATTCGTTTACCAAACAAACACATGAAACTATCAAAACATCATGCAATATCCCGTGACCCCATTTCTCCTTGTAAATTAGTTCAAAATGATTTTTCGTGACATTTAACCCCTCGTCCTATGATTTACGACTGTGCTTAATAAAACTACTTTAGAAGGTTAATCTCTTGCCCTATGATTTCTTTCTCAACTATGATCCACCTGATTACTTTATTATTAGTAATTTATTGAAAATAAAGGAAAGTTCTAGTCTTATCCTATGCTAACGTGTGTTCGAAGGTATAATCATTGATAACAGAGGGAAAATATGTAATTTTCATTCAAACAAATTGAATAATATTTATGCTTGTTAAATTCTATTTAAAATCTTCACCACGTGTCCGACACGATATTGTAGGACAAGGGGTTAAAGATTTATAAGAGTTATACAAGTAATATTTCATTTGTACGAAGGATAAGTAACGTTTAGATTTGTCGAGTTGAAAATTTTTTTTCATCACGAGTCTGACTCGATATTACAGGAGAAGGGGTTAAGAACCAAATTCTTCTTATTGCGAATAGTATCCTCGAAAGAAGAACAAAAGGTTCCGGCAACTTTTCTTTCAAACTTCATCTACAATGCGCACCAAATATCCAGGGAACTGAAAGAACTTTTCGGGCAGCCTAATGGATTTCCGGGGAATGAAAGAAAAAACAATTTACCTCTATCAATGGATGCAGAGGTCGGCATCGATGCGACGAGAGAGTGGATATCAGTGGCAGTGATATCGTAGACTCGAACGAGCCTCCTTGTTGACTTCCTCCTCTTCCTCCTCCTCTTCTTCTTCCTCTTCTTCCTCGTCCTCCTCGTCGTCGTCTTCAGGACGAGGCACGGATCTAGTGGTCATCTCCGTCTTACCCACGGCCACGAGTTCATCCTTATCATGCCCGATATCGCCTACCCTCTCGGACACGAGAACAGAACAACATTTTACAAATATTATTTACAGAACATTTTTCAATTATCATTTTCAGAACAACGTTTGTCAATTATTATTTGCAGAATAACGTTTGTCAATTATTATTTACAAAACAACAGTTTTCGACTATTACAGGACAACATCTTTGAATTATTATTTAAAGAAAACAAACGTCATTCAGAAAATCTTTTACAGGTGAAGACTTTTCTACTTGGACATGTATGAAAGAAAAAATTAACATAATGTAAGTCGGAAAAGTGGAAAATTCGTTTATCGATCTTTTTTATTTCCACAAATATTCATTTCTCGTGATAAAAATGAATTTTTCTTACAGATTACTTAGGTGTTCCATTTTTCAGATCGCTGTTTTCGACTTTATTGACATTTTTTACCGTGGTTTGAAGATATTTAAATTTTTCCATTATTATCGATCGGTAATGTTTATGAATTTCTCCGTGTTTTGATACAGGTTTCGTTGAAGGAAATGCGTGTCTCTCGTTTTGGCAAGCTTTCCAAACTAAGTTTTCTTTATAAAGTGCCGTTGCCCTATTTATACAACGCAAACGGAAACGTTAAACTGTCAATTCCGGGGGAATTCGGTGTTCGGCGGATTCCCGAGGTGCCGCTTTATAAATAGTATTCCAGAAACTGTGGAAATCGGTATGAAAAAAAAAGAACGGGAATTTCAAAAATTTCACGACCGCAACGCCGGAATTCCGACAATTCCAAGGGGTCGATAGCGCGATTTGAGAACGGTATCTTGAATTATTCAAGCTGAACGGACCATGGAGGAGGAAGGAGCAACGATGAAGTTTCAGATATTTCAATAGTTCCCGATTCGAAAGGATCGATTCGGTACGGGATCGATGTCGACGGAAGATGAAACACTTGAGCATCATCGAAATTGTTGCATTGTGCTGGAAATCCACCTCTCATCGATTCCTGTTACGAATTTCCAGAATTTCTCAGACTCTCCTTTCCTCAGACACTAAAGCCGCCGCAATATGTGCCACTGATGGTTTTATGATTTCAATCGTCGAATAAATTGAATGATGATTAGGAAAAAATGGTAAACTGAATGAACGTTATCGAAGAGAATAAAGATTGTTACGATTAAAATGACTGTATGCATTTTTTTAAAATAATGTTTGAGGATTATTGAAGAAAATTGAGATTATTTCGTATGATTAATTAAGAGAAATAAAAGATCATTACAGAAATGATTAATCGGAAATGGAAAGAAAAAGGTAATTAGTGACAACTGATTAGGATAAAAGAAGCATGTTGAAGTTTCTTTAACGAACTGAATGAAAGAGACTTTCATTCAAGAATTTCAATTGTTTGATTTTCATTTTATTCGTCGTTCGTACAGATATAGGTCACTGTATGGTTCCCGATGAATAATTAATCGCATTCCTCCATTTAATTATGTAACACACTTAACTCATCAATAATGGAATACAAAACAGTGGTCGCAATAATAGGCGAAATTTCGGATTCGATAAGAACATTGAATCTCCAAACAGGTGTTCAAGCATTCTAGTTACCAGTTTCTATATTTAATCTCTGCAATTTATCCAATTATAACCGTTCATCCCAATATTCAACAGAAAATTTCACACAAGAATTTCGCAAAAAACAAATATTCCTTTATACTTGTATGTAATAAGTACTCATTAGGCCTCAATAACGTTTCCTTAACCCCTTGCCTTACAATATCACTTAATTCTTCCAAGTCTGAACCGAATATTATTTTTCTATTATTAATTATAAGGCTTCAGAGTAAACGTAGACATACATATAATATGTACAGAGATTTCCTCTTTTTCTAATGAATTATGAACAATATCCCAAAAATATCTCTGTTCAGCGCAATTGGGAAAGCAATCATAGGGCAAGGGGTTAATAATAATATTTTCATAATGTTTAATTATTATTTATTTCCATTCTGAAACTAGTATTCATTAAAACACAATTGACAATACGAAAAAAAATAAATTGATTTATTCATGAATTATTCCAATAGAATTTCTCACCTGTCGAGCTTACTAACACTAAAACTACCAAGCAGTTGAATTGACTTTTTCAAGTTTTCCCAGAGACACTCCAATAGTGCGTTTATTGAAACTTTAATTGATTTACAATTAAGTTCGCGTATTATTAAATAAATTTCTTTAATAATTTCTCAGAGAACCATCTGTTAACTTTTTAATAATTGCAAAAGAAGAAATCAAGAATGAATCAGTTTAAACCGTCTAGTAGTTTTAGTGTTAAATAGCAAAAAACGTCCAGCGTCTGTACAAATTCCGATTCGCCGGGGATGTTGACTAGCGCAGAGATTGAACAACCCGATACCGTTAATAAGCCCTCGCCGGGTGATAACTGATAACGTTTTTACGTTGTTTCGGTCCATCGAATTAACAGGGCTAAAACGGTTTACGGATAAAAGGTGTAAAGATAGAGTCTGGTTGTTCCCGGGAGTTGTTTGATGAGGAGCTCGAGTGGATAATTAATAATAACCAATCGACGGGTTCCGATATTTATGGAGCACTCTCTGCAAGCCGCCACGCATTTCCTTCCTGAACTTTTTAACACTTACTGCCCTGTGTGTTATCGATAGTGCGTTACGCTACTCGCAGCCGCCGTCACGTCGCGAGCCAAGCTTCCCACCCTATATTAACCCCTTTGCACTCGTATGCTATGCTGGAGATAACAATACAAATTTGTTATAGAACGTTGGAAATTGTTTGAAAAAGTATCACATCTTAAAAGATTGTAAAGATTAAATCTTACTATAATGATATTAAATGAAATAAATAGAACGTTGAATTCTACCGCTGTAAATTACTTTCATTCATATCCCTAAAAATAAATTCAAGTTTATACTTGATAAAACTGAAAATAAATCGAGTGTAAAGGGTTGGCCCCTTGGCTACGGCAGAATTTTGCGACAACGCGGATTTCGAAGAAAGTGCATTAAACCATCGAAACACTAATTGAACTAAATTACTAAACTAAATTGAACCAATCATTGAACTCAATTAAACCAATAGAAAATAATCACTTTCAATGTCAATTCGATGTAATATAGGCAATTGAACGTGAAATATTGAAACGAAGTAGTTCTATACTTAAATTGCAACTAATAAAGATATATTTTGTATAGATTAAAAGACAGACCTATTTTATTTCAATGTTCCACGTGTTGATACGTTATACAAGATTTAATATTGAATTTTTAATTTTACAATTTTGCTGGGTCAAGTTAAATGACGATTAAAAGTGATAAGAGTCCACTGTTTCAGATTTAACGCGATTTTTATTATTATTTCGATAAAGAAACGAATGTATTTGACAGTTTCCCAATGAAAGTACCTTTCTGATCTTGCTAATTGTAAAACAGATAATTTAGAGTTAAGTTTAGCTTGTCTGATAATTCCAACATTAATGGAACTATTAATATTAATATCTTTCCGACGAAAATCTTATTTTCAAGGTCCAATTATGTTTCTCTATCGATTTCACAAACAGTGATCCATGATCTTCAAAAAAGAAAATATAATTCAGATCGATCGCTGGAAAGATTTCAATACCGATTACATCGATATAAAGCAAACCCGTGTGCGTGAACTAGTAGGTTAAAATCGTCTAAATGGATTATTAAATACTTCTATAGACAAATGATTGATTAAAGAACGAGCAAAAAGTAAAGCGGGTGTTTGTTGCCAGCAGTCTAATGACTGTGCCAATTAACAAACCACTGCTCTTTCTATCGGATTTTATGTGCATTTCAACGGAAAACGAAAATCTGGGCTGACTTCATGATTATGGATCTTCAACGCTTCGAATCATTCACTACAGAAAATATTAGAAGAACGTGTTTAACCCCTTGCCTTACGATTTATTTCATCACACGTTTCTGGACACAATTGTTACAAAGATTATTACAAGAAAAATCTGAAAAACACGAAAGCTTCATTTACACTTATCTATGAAAATAAAAAAATTATTTTGCTTCCGATACAGCAGATTTATAAAAAAATTTACAAAATCAAGTCACGCACAGAGAACACGTGCAAATGAGACTCGTCATTTCCACGCAAGGGGTTAATCAACGCGATCCGTGTCTTTCAGTTGTTATCCCATCGATTTCAACGGGAATCCTTCGAATGTTTCGTTTCTCGCATTTTGCAGCACATAAAGGTCAAATAAATTCGTTTACGCCCTCGACACTCGTTCTTCCGTGCGGGCCGCCATTCGTTCGGCCAGCTTTCTACACGTCCGCCTCGTGTTCGCAGCGTATTCGCGCAAATAACTAAGACGGGAAATTTTCAAAATAATCAAATAATAACAAATGTACTTAACTCCTTCATCTCGAATGGTACACGTAAGTGCCACGAACATTTTTAATTACCAGAAAGCTAAAAAACACCATCAAGATAATGGAAATTTGTACAACACGGGGATCTCTGCTTATGACTGACAGCTTAACCAGTTAACTGCGTTCGACGAGGATACACACATCATTATTTAATTTCATTGTCAGCATTATCAGAGATTTTTGAAATTAAACTCCACAGTTAATAGCTCAACTGCTAATTATTATTATGTTGGTGCTTATCTTATTCCTTTCACTGAAAGCTTCAATTTCACTTGAAAGCAGCTTTCCTTGGTTCTCTCTCTGGGAGGAAAACACATGTTTAGAAGCGAAAGGGTTGAGGTATACAAAATCTTCTGCAGATTCTACCAAATTAGATATTTAATGAGTAACACTGCAGCTACCGTACCAGTGTAAATAACTGGTTTCGAGTTTGTTTCGCAATCATTGATATCTTAAAATTGAATGTTCAAAATGATTTTGAACATAAATAGTTTCGCTCGAATACTATAATAAATGTCTGAAAAAATCGAAAATAATCTATTGTTACAATTTTTATAGAGATTAGATATCAATCGTATTAAATGCTCGGTAGCTCTAGCGTTAAATAATAGAGAATAAGGAAGCTATATACTGATTTCTTGCTGTCCGAGTAGTTATATCATTCGTTTGCAACTTAGTATTCCAAATAGAAAAGTATGATCTCAGTAAAATGTCGACATTCGTCCGCAAAGGATTAAACGCGCGACCATGCGGATATAAAAGGAAATTCGTTGAGTAATAAACTCCACGCGAATTTTCCATTTATCGCGGCAAAATTAATTATCGACGCGCTAGCCTCTGCCAATGGTGAATCCGACTGCATGAAGTGTGATGAGTAACATTCAAAATTAATAAACAATCCATTCCCCGACCGTCGATTGGGTTATTCGTTCATCAATACGAAATATCTTTATCATTTTCCAATGTGTCTCAAAGAAATTGGATTCCCCTGGATGGTTTAGAAAACATAGTGTTCTCTTCGACCCTTATAATCTTTATGAAAAATTCGGAAGAGAAAGCTAACATGATAAAAAGTAAATTTGTTGACCGCCAATTTTACGCAGAAACTGTCGCATGTCGCCGATTATTATTCCGTAATTAAATATGAAAGTGAGACAATCTAAATAAACTTCAATATACTCTATTTATACACAATGAATCGAAATGAAACTTTGGACATATCTTCTATATAACTTTGAATATTCTGCTTTTACAATATTCTATATTACCCTGCGTTTCAAAAATTGAAATGCCTAATGCAAGTGTGAACACGAGATAACTGGTGACCGGTGAACAATATGTTAAGTACTAGTCATAGGGCGAATTTCTACAGAAAACAGCCAAATTCCTGGCGACATCCTTTCAACCATTGTTTACTCAGACCTCTGAAAGTTACTCATCTATAACACAGCCTAATCCCCTACTCCACAATTTCTCTTCTTTTCTAAATTTTTTTTTACAGATTCATTTCCCGACACACAATTTTCACCGAATCGTTTTCGGTCAAAGATCTAGCACATCGCGAACTGCGAATGATACACAGTCATCTTAAAATCTATTGAAATTCTATTAATTTGTAATATTGTCGTAATATACTTAGTGTAATAAACGTTACCCGACAGACAGGAGTCTAACGAAATACAACAATCGTATATACACGACTCAATTTCTGTCACTTTTCAATTGTCCGACATGTTAGAGATTCAGAACCATAACAGACAGTGACGACTTTCAGAAGATTCTTTAATTTCTACAATGCAACACGAGGAGTCACAGCCTATCTAAAGTCTTCTAAATTTCTCGTACAGACAGAGACTGTTTCGCTGTTTGTATTCGTGACTTTGTTTATTACTTTCAGGAGAATAGACTACGGTTTCTCGTCAAGTCATCTAACACGTGCCGGGAAGTTCCGAACGACCAGCTAAGACCTTTTTTACTTGTAGGCCCCTTTTCGCCAGAGGCATGGTCACTCGCATACCCAAATAAGAGGCTTACGCGCCAGAATAATATACCTATGCGCCTAATCCATTTGACCACTGACAAATCTGTTTAGTTAACACTAAGAATAACCGAGCAATTAAATTGACTTTCTAAAATTCCTCTATAGAAACTCCAAGAATGCATCTATTTTTACTGTCACTGATCTACAATTCTTGAATATTTCTTTAATAACTTTTCAGAAAAACATTTATTATCTTTGTAATCATTGCAATAAATCAAGAATGGATCATTTCGTCTGATAGTTTTAATGTTAAACCGCCAATGCGAAGATTACTTACTCCCAAGATTTTCGGAAGTCGCCGAAGACGCCTCCACCTTCCTTTTGTTTCTGTACAGTAATTCTAGCAACTAAGATCGCCGTATAAACAAACTCCAAGCACCAGCTAATAATACAGTCCATTTGAGTTTCGATAAATAATTCAAGTTATTTGTTACACGATACGTTCCCTAGATCGTAATTCAACGAAACAAAGAGAAGATGGACAACGAGACAAAACTTCCATTCTCGCGTTTCGTTCTCGTCGGGCGTCTTCTAACGTTCCCCGTGACAAAGATGCGGTTCGCGGCGGAGTATCGCGTAATAAGAGCGAGCAATAGCGTAGAGAGAGGACCGGGGGCCTCGTGTCTGCGCACTCCACGCTCTAGAGCGCTCGAGATGAGGCCAAGAGCCCTGAAAGGTATCGCTGTTAATTTCTTTTAAAGAGAAACACGTCCTCGGGTTCACCAAGAGAGTACCCGTTCCCCTTCAACCCCCCGGCGACCCCTTCGCGCCGCGGATGTTGATAACGTTTTCTGCTGGAACACCTATTTCGGGTCTGGGTCTCGGTCTCGGTCTTGGACTGAATATCGCGGCGCCTCGCCTCCGTGACTCGAGTCCCTCAAACTTGGCCTTTGTCTACGTTTTCCTCGCGGTGCTCACCGGTAATGAGTGGACTGCGGATATTTATGTAATATATATCCAACGCCAAACGCGAGCCTTCTCGTTTTCTCTATATATTTCGATATTTTTCGGACATAGTGGGCCCTCGATTAACGCTGAAACTACCGCAGACGTCAATATAATAAGTTTCAGTTTATTTATTTTGTAATTATTGACACTTTGAACGTAAAATCGAGAACTGCGAATGGATAATTAAATCATTCGACTAACGACTTTTCTCTTTTAGTATTCAACCTAAATGTTAGAAGTTTAAAACAGTCTCGCAAAGAGTTAACGCTAAAGCTGCCGAGCATGTATTGGGGTTGATGTGTAATTCTTATGGAGATTGTAACAACACATTTTTCTCAGTTTCTTCAGGTGTTCATTATAGTATTAAAGTAAAACTGTTTATGTTCAAAATCGTTTTGGATATCGAATGCTTCGAACATATCAATAAATTGCAAAATAAGAAAACTGAAACCCGTCGTTTCAGTTCTAGTGTTAACATCTTTAAAGTGTTAAACCCTCAGGTACATGATTAACCTGAATAAATTTCACCATGGAACGCGTCACGGTGAAAATCATGTATAGGAAAGTAATAGGATTTACACCCAATATCTGCTTCTTAATTCTTGCAAGTGCAAATTAAATATTATTCTTCTATTATCAATTATAACGTTTTAAAAGAAACGCAGACGAATGTTTTCTTTGTAATGGAAGTCCTGTTGATTTCGTATAATCAGTTATGATATAAATGCATAAACGTGAGCCAAGTTTCTTATTTTTTTTAACGAGGTTGTAATTTAGAAAGATCATTCAATTGTTCAGCTAAGGATTACAGGGAATGTTTTGATACCCTGGAAGAGGAGAACAGTATACAGTAGAAAAGACCAAAGTAAAAACTCACCTCGGATTTCACGAAGTGCCTTCTGTCTTCATCATTGAGGAGGCGACCGTCTCCAGAGCGAGGTTCGTAGTTTTCAACTTTTCCTTCCTAGGAGCCCCCTTTGTCGCACATTGTTCCGGTGTTTGCAAGTACATATTACCCTCTCCCCGAACTTTCGCTATCGCCCGCTCTCCCCCCAGTCATCACATTTCAATCGTCACTTTCGGAAGCACCGGGGACCGATCTCGGTTCACTTTAAGAAGGTCAATCTCACGAGGAACATTTTTCCTTTCCGGGCACCCCTCGATCCACCGTAAAGTTCACGCGTCTTTATTCTTCATCCTCTGACTCGTCACCGTTTCTGCACTACAATCGAAATTCACCTGTTAACCGAAGAACCGCCAGTTACCTGTTGTACCTTATTCCGGTGTGTGTACGTGTTCATATCTACGAATAATTTTCTCAAGTATGTTCATTTAAGTAATGTGTACCTATGAAATTGGTTATTTCGAAAATCAATATTCCAGTTGGCTGTTTTTGGACGAGTATACTCGTCATAACACAGAACCTCGCCATTTCTTCATGACGGGACCAACTATTCGACATTTTACGATAACTATTTCTTTCATATATGTACTTCTTCATCCCCTAAGATTCATGCAATGTGACTCGCGTAACTCCATAAGTGGAAACCCCTTTCTGTGCCGAACTTGATTTTGTAAATTATTCGAATTTTGTGATTCGAATTGTGACCAAAATAATTGTCTTATTTTCATCAGTAAATTTCATTTAACCTGTAATATTTCAGTTCCTTGTATATAATCGTCGTATCCACAAAGTTGCGACAAAAATAAATAGCGTAAGAGGAAATGAATTGTAAGACAAAGGACATAACCAAGGTCGCCTAAACATCATGTGTACAGCGATTTCACTCGCAAAGATTTTTTGCAAATACTGTATGTACAAATAAGAATCGCCGAAGTAATGTTTGTATATACTTAAAGTTTACAATTTGTATCGTTTGTACCTTAAAAATCATCGATTAACAGTGAATGATATTTAGGAAACGTAACAATTTTCTCTGTCATGTTGCGTGACTTAAATTCAGCTAGACACTCGAAAATAACGCGATAAAAATGAAATATTTTGTGTTCGTTCTAATAGACCATTACAGGAATGTTCATCGTATGTTTTTAAAAGCTTTACTTTTTCTAAATGCGATTCTGCAGTTTTTTCTAAATATGGTTCTACATTTTATCTAAATGTTCTCTGACGAGTTAAACAATTCAAACAACCAAGCTTATCCATGCAATCGAATTTTATTATGAACGTCTGGCGAAATGCTGGAAAGCACTTTCTTGGAAATGATTGGTAACAGCGATAAACCTCTTCCTTAATATTTTAGAGTACGCTAGAGCTTTTCGTCCGAGATACGTGCTATCACCACTGGGACATTCCCGTAGGGATAGCAACCCTCTCGCATCTTGATCATAAAAATTCAACGTACAATTTTGTTCGCCTGTTTTTTTTTCTCATAGACAGCTTAAAAACCAGCGGATAAACGTCCCTTTAAAACGCAAACGTATAATTTCACCCGCGGCATCCGTTTGCCTCTGGAGCAACGATCATTCCTTTCACCGATAATTTTATCATTTCAAACATCTGATAATTTTAGGTAAATTAAAAGGCTCCCCGAATCATACTGAATAGACGAGAAAAAGAAATATTTTAAAACATCATTTCAATGAAATAAATTCGAACCGTTCGAAAACCACGCATCTTGCTCAATTTTTCAACAATAATGGGACTCCATTCAAATTTTAAACGCATCACAAAATATTCTAAACGGCCAATCGAATTGCACGAATTCACACTTCATTTTGAAAATATCATTTTCCGTTATCCGCTACCGTAGAAGGGATATAGAGTTATATAGATTATAGAGTTTCCTCCGGTCGAAATTTTTTCATTTTTGCAAGTTTAAAATTTAAGGGGAAAAAGAAAGTAAAGAAATTGTTCGTGAGCGAAACGCGAAGAATACATTTCCCCCTCGTAATTTCATTATCTTCAAAGAAGCACGCTGCGTTGTTGAATTACACGAAATTCGCGTCCCTGGCCCAAGGATATTAAATTTTCGGGATCTTTCGCCCGTGCATTTTTTTCAATGACCCAACGGATCCCGTTGAACTTGGCGAATTTTTAATGGCTATCGCGGATAAAGAACCGCGGAATACAATTAGAGTAATAGCCACCTGGATGCTACGCAACGTATCACCATATATTTCACCGCATACGTCATAAATTTCATTCCCGGCCACGCGTGCTGGTACAATCCATATTGCAGACACTTGCACATAAATAAACGACCAGCCCTTGGTAGCATGGAAATTAATACATAATTCTAAAGGTAATATCGCCATCGTTCCGCCCGTCCCGCTGAGTCCCAGGATCATTTTCGACCGAATAACGCGACATTCCTTCAAATAAAATTAATCGGATCCCGTTCCTCGGATATTTCTCTAATAAAACGATTCCGGATTGGAATGTTAAAGTTTAACACGCAAACCCGCGGCGAAAGAAAAGAAATTGTCGGCTCGAAATAGAAAAAGCGAAAATTATGAACTGACTGTTTCTTTGCTTAATAATTTAATTTCTAAATAAGAGTATAATTTATCTTTATAAAGGAAATGGTATTGCATTTTTTTGGAAGAAAATGAGGTTAAAGTTAGAGCTTATTTTTTCAATTTAAGAACTCGATGGTGAAATGCCAAAATCCGATTAAAAGCTTGTTTATTTGTGAAGGACGTGAATATTTCGATTTAGAGACGGTATGTTTTATCTGAGGCAATTTTTTTGGATGAAATAAATAAATCAACTGAGCCTCGCGATTTTTATTAAATTTTAGAAATTATATTGCAACTTTGTATAGAAATATTACTTATCGAATTTTCATTACTCAAAACATTAAATCCTTCATTTTGAGAACTTTTTTCCTTTGTTACTGCCAACGAAACGTATAACGTATATTTCTATGAAACAAAGTAAATTCAATTACGAGTATTTTCGAGTTGTTGATTCAGCAAATTGATATTAAAATATGAGGAGCAAAGTAAAAAACTTTTGGAATCACGAATGAACATAAAAACATACAAAAAATTGGAAACTAAAAATACCATACTACTTTATTTTCTTCGTGTTAGTTAATAACTGATAAAGAAATATACATATACAGTATGTTGAACCAAAACAAAGATTAAATTTTTTACTTAACATAAAGGTAACAGAATTTTGCGTTTATAATGGATTAGTTACTGCAATATTAACATAAAACCCAAAAATGTATCAAACAAGATAGAACATATGAAATCTTTCGTTCAATATTTCCTAAACGGTATACATCTTTAATCATTGAATGTAAAAATAGATTTGTTTAATTTCGCTAATTGAGATCAGTCAAATTTCAAACGATTCAAAATTTCAGTAAACCCTGCCAAACTGTAGATGGGTTTTCTCAAAATTTTGAGAAAAACTGTTTGCTCCAAAAACTATGGTCTCTTGCTCTTTGCCACATGAAAAATTATGTCTGTCTTGAAAAATCATCGCAAAATTCAGTACCGTATGATGTATGCCACATACGATCGACTTGTCACGCGTTTATCGCGACAATAAATAACATATGGGAAAAAATAAAAACCGTGTGTCATATTGGGCCATCATAAATCCACGGATCCTACGACCTTGGCTGCATTCTCAATTTTGGCGGTTACATACTTCCAAAAACATCCTGACCGTACCTACATGCTACATACACGTACGCCTGCACATATGTTTCTCATATAGCCGCGTTCTTACACACACATATATAGTACCCACACGAATTCACATTATATTATTAAAAACAAAAAAGAAAATAATTTAAATTAATTCGTACAATATTACTATTCCATTTCATTTTAGGATAGAATTGTATTTAAAAAGAAATAGCTATATTAATCGATATTTGAATTTATACATCATTTTCTAAAATCTGACTAATTAAAATTTTATCGACATAAGATCGTTATTGTGATTAAGCATCGTAGGAATTGTCTATATTGATTGAAACATTATTTCCGCGCATAAGAAAAAATGAATATAATCCTACAGTATCAAATAAACTGAAGGGAAGACATTTCCTTGATGTACGAATTTCAATGTCGAAATTTTTTCGCCTACCAAATCTTAACCTCTCCGCCGTGTGTTCTGTGTTTCAGTGTAACAATAGTTTTGTCGAAACCAGAGACCGTTCGTTTACTTATTATACGCGTACATACGGATACATTGTGCATTATATATACATAGATATACATGCACACACATTTGCATTTTATATGTCCATACGTACCTCCTACTACACATACATCGGTACATATATATGTACATTCATTTGGCATGATATACCGCACACTCACGAATCGTATCACGCATAGGAATATCGCGAGAGAAAAACAGACCGGATGACATGGAAAAAAAAGAAAGAGGAAAAAAGATCACTTTCAGACACACATTCACCGTACAAGCTCGCGCGGCCTACTGAAACGTCAGAAGGCATGCGTTGCCCTGACGGCTGGCTTTCTCCTTTCCCCCTCTTCGTTAAATCCCCACTAAGGGTAGCTCACCCCCACTAGGGTTGTCAGGAAAGATGTATGTCCGAAGGACTAAAAATAGGCTCAAGTGAACTGGTTCTGTGGGGATGAAAATCATTGCGGAATGATAAAACAGTGATAACAATGATGCTGACGGCAACGGTACCTCCTAACCGCGCGACAATAACACGGACGATGGTATAACGGAAATAATCGAAACTGCAAATAGTAATAACGTAGACGACAATTACAATGGGAAATTATAGAAAACCGTGTTCGTTGATAACCACTTGTTTCTGAACGTATTACTTATTCAGCTTCGTCTGATAACGGAACTTGATGTTTTAACGTGTTGATATTTTCCGAATATAATTTCTATGAGATTACTACTTATCTTTATGCACACATCTATTAATAATACAACTGATAATCATAAAATGATAACTTATCATTTATAACTATTTAATTGCCTATTTAAATAATATAAAAATAGTCATTTATTTTCTTTGTCACTTGCTATTTTTTATAATGATAACAATAAACAATTGTCATAAGAGGAATAATATCGTGTAGGATAGATAGATGAGGTATTAATTGGTATCCATCTCCTTTGGATTATCTTCATATGATATAATAAAGTAATTTGTTTTATCAAACGCATTAAACTCAGAGATAATCCTTTTATATTTAAAGTGTATTTTAATTCATAACGTGACATTCGTCATATGTTTCCAATCACCATTTTTTAAATACAATATTATAACATATTTATTTACCATCTTTTGTGATTCTTGTATGGGTACACGCACATTTATTCAAAGTCACATTTATTTTGATTAAGATATTAAAATATCTTATTTCATTAGAACTTATTTATCATTTTTACAGATTCCCTATTCACTCGTGAAAAACGCTTCTGCAAAAATTTCTATAGTGATTTTATCTTTCCTCTAGGAAAAATTAATCGTCTTTAGTTTTCGCGAAAAGTCTGCTTCCACTGCTTTCCAACTTAATCTTCAGTCTTAATAACAGATATTAATATCATTTTACATAATATAAAAAGATGTCATATTTTCTTCATTGAATAGAAATACATTTTGTTATTTCAGTATTTCAAATTTTAACGAATAAAGATAATTTTACATTTTAGGAACAGTTATTATGAATATTTTTAATGTGTTCTGAAAAACGACAAAATTACAATCATGTAATAACAAAAAAATAATTAACGATGTTCTATAATATTATGCAATAATGACATATAATATTTAATAGCTTAATACATAAATATAAAGTACCAGCTATTGTAACAATATTTTAGAAATGTGAAAATATTAATATTAAAAACAAAATTATTGAGTGCACCAACACAACAAATGATATTTTATTATATAATAAATATAATTAGTTAATGACTCAATAAAACATGTAAGATATTTTCTACCTTTTTCAACGTATGATAAAATTTTAAGCGTCAAATAAATACATACCTTAAGCTGAATTTCCAATCTTTGGTAGTGATATTTATGTCGGTATCCTTAAACATATAGAGAATTTTTACTTTCTTTAGTGGTTACTCCGAATAAAAATGGTTAACCGAATAACAACAAAATGCAGATGCTAGTATTTATGAATAATTTTAAAGGACACTAATGTGAGTTTATTATTCAAATCACTGACCGGGATTTCTAGCTAAACTTCAAATAAGTGAATAATTTTTGAATAATTAAATTTTCAGGAACCAATAATAAGGAGACTTATTAATTATGTAGTGAAATAAAACTGCCATAACATTAGCTATGAATGACGATTCATTTAAACGAATAAAGGCTAAGTTAAAATCGGAATTCTATCTAATGAATGATGACTGGTTAAGAGATTGTGTAGAATTCTACGTGGACCAACATAGAAATGTAAATAATGTCTTCTATATATACTTAATTCAAAATATTAGCCAATTTTATGACACGTAAGAAACAGATTTTACTTAAAATGTTAAAAATTATTTTATTTTTTTATCCGTATTTCAGATTCTATAATTGGTAAGAAATGCAATTTTTATTCATATATTTTAATTTATAGCCAAGTAACGAAGAAATTGTACAATTCGTAAAAGTACAGTGGCAACTCAGTGATTTACGAGAAATTAATAATGAAAATGGGAGTTTACCGCCTAATATTTCACAACACAAATTTATTACACTCTCTGAAAATTATATTCTCCAGGTATATAATACATTATCTTTATTAAATTAAACTATTAATATTACCAAATTATTTATTTCTTTTTTTATTAGGTAGAACAAATATATGACATTGCAACATCAAAATATAAACAGTTACAACAAATCAGAAATACTCATAATATAGAAGTAGATACAACTGAAGCAGAAAAATTAGAAAAATGGGAACCTCCCAAAAAGAGGATGATGCAACTGAAATTAACAGATGGGTTGCAAGATATAATTGGAATTGAATATAACTGTATATCTCTATTCAATGTATGTTATTGAGTAATATAACATTTCTTTTAATAATATTATAAGGAAGTAAAAATGTTATATAGAACACTTAAAATTTTCGTTTTTAAGGAAACATTATTACCAGGGTATAAAATTATGATAATAGGGCCAATAAAATGCCGTAAAGGTGTATTGTTGTTGGAAGGATCAAAACTGAAAGGTATCGGAGGTGAAGTGGATAGTTTATTAATTCGTAATGCTTTAGAAAACGTACTAGCTAGAGCTCTGTAAGTAACTTATAATGACTTGTGACTCTTCTTGAGTAACAGATTGTTCTCAGAGTGAACTTTATATGACTATTTTTTCAACAGAAATATCGAAGAAAATCCAGACCCTTATAATGATAATGGATCAGAATCAAATAACAATAGGCAAGACGAAGAATTACAACTGGATAATGAATCGAAATCAAATAACAATAAGCAAGATGAAGAATTACAGCTGGAAAGTAGTTTCTTTGAGGATGATTTTGAAATAAATTTAGACGAAGTTTCGAAAATTGAACATTCACACATCGGAGACCATAAACAATCTAATGCTAATCCATGTAAAATAGAAAATATAAAAGAAAATACTTCTGTCAAGAACAATGTTAAAAAGAAAACTAATTACAATGTTAAAATCGAAACCAGAAAAGAAAATTTGATTACTAATTATGTTGAAAAAAAAACTGATAATAGAAATAACGAACAAAATATCTTTGATGATGATGACTATTTATTAGAAATGGTTAGTATTTATTATATAATTTTAATCAGTTATTTAATTTGTATTGATTAGAAATTTAATTTTAGATTGATGAAGAACAACTTGTGGAATTACAACCAAAGCAAAAAATTGCAACTCCATTCAGATCTCTACCAAAAGAAGGAGACGATGATGTTATTATAATAAATGAAGACACGATTGAAGATATAAAATATAAAAGTATTCAAAAGCCTATAGTGAAAACACAAAATATTTTGCAACAAAGTTCTGCACAGTATACTGGTGAAACAAGTTCATCAATTAATACGTTTCATTCAAAGTTATGTGATAAACCATCGAAAACTTCTGTATGTTCAATTGCAGGGAAAAGACCAGTATGTTATTAAATAATCAAAAATTGTTATTTTGATATAAGCACTGTAGATCACATTATACATATAATAATGTTTTCATTTCAGATTCCAATGTCTTCTCCAGAACCAGTAACTTCAAAAAAAGGCAAAATTGACAGAAAAATTACAGAATTTACAAAAATGCCTTCTTCTCCAAATATTAAAATATATGATTTTATTTACGACATAAATAACGAAATTATAACAGAAGTAATTTATAAAACAATTTATGGACGTGTTGAAATTCTTGGAAAACTGTCGAAAAATAATTCTGTTTGGATTTTAGATGCTACTATAGTAGATGGTACTGGAAAAATAGAAGTTACTTTTTCAAATCAGGTGAGTAATTGTAACTCAAGTTAAAGGTGGTATATAACTTTCCACTTATTATAGAATGCACTTCAAATTAATTTTTAAATATTTCAGGTCTTGGAAAATTTATTAGGATTTAGTGTACAGGAATTTTCAATAAAAAAGAAGTTAAAGAAAAATCCTGAAATTGAACATGAACTTAGAATGGTATTTATTTTACTTAAAAACTAACTTTTTTAATTAGTTGATAACTTGGTGAATACTTTACTTGTAATTTAAACGTTTTAGAAATTTCGTAGTGCAGAGCAAAGGATAAAGACCTTAAATGATCTTTTGGAATTGAAGTTGGATGTCAATAAAAAACCAATGGTCATGAAAATTATTGACGTAACACAACAACAAAAGGAACTAATTGACAAACAATTAAAATCTTTTTTGAGTAAATAATATTTAAAATATGATTTACTTTCAATATGAATGTACTATAGCTATTATGTTTTATCATTATTCTTAAAGACATAATTGTAATAAATAATCATGATGGTTATATTATAAACTAACATTACTATACAAATTTATAATTAAACAGTTTATTTAGTTGCTTAGCTAAATTAAGTATATTTACAAAATTAATACGAAATAACAAGACTCGAATACATTACAATTTAAATCCTGAATGAATAGATACAACTCCAAAAGTTAAATTTTCATAAGTAACATTTCTGAATCCTGCTTCCTCTATCATTTCCTAAAACAATTAATAATTAAATGAAATTTTATAATTTTGTTTCCAACATAAATTTCATTATATTATTCAGTTTATTTACCTTTAGATCTTCTTGTTTTGGAAACTTTCTTATGCTTTCAACAAGGTATTGGTAAGCTTGCCATTCACCTGCTATAAGAGTACCTAATACTGGTATTACTTGAAATGAATATTGGTCATAAAACCTGTACATAAGTTTTAGTTTTTTTTAGTTCATTTCTATAATATGAGATTAAAAGAAATAAGTAATTACCATCTTAACATGTCATTGTCAACGTGACTAAACTCTAAACACATGAAACGACCACCTGGTGTAAGTACCCGATATGCCTCAGAAAGTACCTAAAAATAACATTATTTTATACTTACAATACGTTAAACTACAATTTTAATACAATATTATAAAATTTTATTTACTTTATCAATATGAGTACAATTTCTTAATCCAAACGCTATTGTATAAGCTGTATATGAGTCATTATCAAACGAAAGCTTTTCTGCATCACATTGCTTCCAATCGATATCAATGTCATTCTGACTTAACCAACCTTGTTTTTTTGCTCTAATTTTTCCTACTTCTAACATGTTCTCATTTATGTCACAAACAGTTAAAGAGCTTTTTAAACATTGATAGTTAGGTGTATTTTTCAAATACTGTAAATATCTAAATGCTATATCCCCTGTGCCTCCAGCTGAATCTAATAATTTACTTCCATGAGTTGGCCCAAGTCTTTGAATGAAAATGTCTTTCCAAATACGATGAACTCCTAGACTCATGGCATCATTCATTTGATCATAAGAATTTGCCACCTTCTCGAATACTGTATAGACTGGAAAAAACGTTTATGCATTACACTAATGAACATATTAAATTATCTAATTGTATTCAAATTATTCATTCGTATTTGCAAATCAAATATACTGAGTTCAATAAATATTTTCAGTATATGCGAATAACTTAAGTCATTTATTAAATTGTAATATTTACCTTCTTTTACTTTGTCACTTTCTTTAACAGTTTTAAATCCAAAATGTGTTGTTTTCTCATTATTATTATCAGCTGTAGCAGTTTCTGAGAAATATTTTTGAAAGGAAATTATTTTCCTGTTTTTAAATAAACTTTTCAAAAACCTTCCTTTTTCAATCATTTTACAATTTTTCAACAACTTAAGTCTTAATTGCGATTTATAAATAATAAAAATTTAACTATTTAATTTTCTTCCTGAAAAAATATTTAAGGTTAATTTTAAATTTTTATTATTTTCTTCAGAGGGCGCATTTCACATCATTGACATGTAAGACTAAAAATTAGAGTATTTATGTACCTGAATATATAAGTAATTATTACTTATAAATCATTTTTCTGTCAGTCCATCAACAGACTTTCTCTTCAGCTGTTTCAACATAAATTAAGGTCTGTAATGCCGGTTTTAATCTACTCTCGAACTATAGTGACAGAAACGCGTTGTCATCTGGTTCGGACAACGTGATGCACACGTGTAGATAGAAAGTGCATAAAATCTAACAAAAGAAACCTTTATGTTTCTTTGAAAGTCCATGTTGACCAAACCTGAGTATCGTAAAAAACAAGACATCTGTTGAAGATCGTACATGACTGAACGGAAACTTTTAATTTTATACAGCCTGTAATAATCGGTGCAGAATTTTCCAAGATTTTTTAAATTCTAATTTTATTGTATTTTCTAGGTGTATTTATTATTTCTAAACCAAAATATTTTTGATAATGACGATACTTCCGAATCAACGACAAAGAATCTCATTATATAAGACATTTGTATTTTTATTAAATCTGTAGATACCTAAACTACAACTTTAAAAAGTTAATCTTAAATTACCATAAACTTTAATTTCCAAAAATAATGGTGGTTAATTTTGTATATTTAATGTATGTCATAGAACATTGTTCTCACCATATAATAATTTATATAAAATATTCCGTATCATATTTAAAACTATGAATTTTTATAAATTTATTAGTAAATGTCGCGTGAAACTTTTTTAGCAACATGTTGTTAGTAACAATAGTTTCTATGTTGTTATTTTCTTATTTTCTAATGTCTATAAAATTTAATTTTAATAACCAATAAAATCACAATTGCTAATATTTATTGCTTACATATTATCAGTTGCTGTGTTGATTAAAAGACCGATGGGTTTAATGTCCTATTGCACCGACTGCGGAAAATCGATAATTTATGTTACGTCGTTGATAAATCTACGTAGTACCTGTTGATTTTCGGTTGAAGTTTCTTGTAAGAAATCCACAGGTAAAATGAAAAGTTTTATATTTTTCTATCACTTAAATACAATTTTATTAGTTTTTACTTTTAGTTCAACTAATACACGTACGTCATTTCTCGGTTTTTGTAGCATTTAATGTTAATATTTCATAAAATGTAACCTACTTTCTAAAAAATTATTAGTGAGTTAATATGTCTATTTGACACTTGATGAAAGTGTTTTAAGACATGTCTTTATAAATTAAGAAGTAGTACGTAATAAATAAGAATTGTAAATATTAAAAATTTCATAATTTCAAAATGAGAAGCTATACAAAAGTACTACTGATTATAGTTGTCACTATATTAAATGTTTATGCTAATTACATACTACACATTATTTGATTTCATATTTATGCAACTATATGTTATATTGTGTTTAAATGTTTTTAACAAATGAAAATGTAAGTAATTTCATTCTTATACGGAAGGACTTCATTTAATATCTTCTGAATAATACAACCATATGTGATCTATTATTATATTGTTATCGCAATTTTTATTAAAAGAAACCACTATTCACGTAAATATTTTATTTTTGAGATGCAGTAATTTCTGTAAATAGATAGAAAAACTATATATTATTTTAAATTAAATATAAATATATTTTTAAACATTGCCTTTATAAATTAAAATTCATTATAATATATAAATAATAGAATTTATTATAAATGATAGGTGGAATAATCCAAGCAATATTATTTGAATAAAAAATATTTAGAGCTTTTTCAAACAAGAAATGCATGTCTTTTAATTGAATCATGCCAACAGACTATTCATATAATTATGAATTATGTGTAGGTATGTTATTTCATTTTATTTTGTAAAAAATATTTTATATATCTTGAATCAAACGATTTATTTATTTTTACAATTATATTTAATTAATTCCAATTTATAATAATTTAAATTATATAATGGTTCTATTAACTTTCAGATATGGAACAAATTGGAGAGCAACCTCTGTCGTTAGAAGGCTTCAAGCCTCTAACAATTTTAATGGAAGTTCTTGGTGCAATATTGATAATCTTAGTTACAGTTTGGTGCAACAGTTATAGAAATGGTTTTTCATGGAGATCTAATCCAGATTTGGAGTTCAATTGGCATCCTATGTTGATGGTCATTGGATTTGTTTTTCTTTACGCGAATGGTATATTTTCAAATTCTTAAAAATTATAATTCAGTCTGCATTCACTTTACATCTTCTGTAATATTGTCAATACTTCTAGGGATGTTAATATATAGAACTCAACGGGATGCTAAAAAACGCCGTCTAAAGTTAATTCATGGTGGTATAATGTTATCTGTTGTTGTGTTAGTAGTAATAGCTCTAGTCGCTGTATTCGACAGTCATAATTTAAGACCGGAACCAATTCCAAATATGTACAGCCTTCATAGTTGGGTTGGACTTACCAGTGTAATTTTGTTCTGCTGCCAGGTACAAGAAAGATCATATTCATTATATGTATAATGTTTTAATGTAATTTTATCTATATTATAATATTTTGGAATTATACAAAATAAGTATAATATTGAATTGTCACCATGTTTCAGTGGCTTGCCGGATTTCTGTCTTTTCTTTACCCAGGTTTACAAGTACCTCTTCGTGCATCCTACATGCCCATTCACGTGTACTTTGGTATTGCAGGATTTGTTGGCGTTATTGCTTCCTGTCTTTTGGGACTCAACGAAAAAGCCATTTTCACACTATCGTAAATTCCTTATACTCTGTTTTATCATAAAGTTTATTTTTTACACAATGTAATGTTCATATAATTTTAGGAATAATTATTCAAAGCTTGTCAATGAAGCTGTATTGATTAATGTAATTGGACTCTTTATCGTTCTTTTTGGTGGACTGGTAGTTTATCTTGTAACACAAGAACGATACAAGCGTTTCCCTAAACCTGAAGATGAATCTCTGGTTCGAAGGAGAAGCCAATAAAAATGGTGATGACAAAAAAGATTCTAAAATATTTCCGAATACAGTAAACAAATTTCTAGGTACATTTATATAAAGTGCCAAATTATTTACATGTTTGTATTATTTACAAAATATTTAATCAGTTTATTTACTTAAAGATTTTTAATTTTGTGACTTATCGTTACAAAATTTTGAAAAAGAACTGTATTTGTATAATTACGTTTTTTTTTAACACGAAAATATCTTATATTGCTCACATCTGTCTTAAAATTTCCATTATTTATATGTAACTATGGTGCTATTTTATTATTTTAATTATTATAAGAAGAATTATTAATATTAGATCTGATTATATCACGGATCTCTTCTGAGATTCACAATGTTCATTTTATTTTAATAATTCTTCCTATTCCTCGAGTGCTAATGGTGCCTTTCATAAACATATTAATTTTATTTATGCAATGTGTATTTTACATATTATATTTTTTAATTTGTTGAAAATTATATTTTATATCAATTTTTCGTTTATTTATATACAAATATCGTATTTTTTAAAATTATATTAATCTATGAAGATTGCATATGTATTACACTGTGATTATAAAAATGAATGTATTGATTGTCAAAAATATATAATCTATGCATATGTATCTTAAAAGCAATTTTGTGATACTTATTTTAATAACTAATTCCAATGAGAAATAGAGTAAAAAGATTTTACTTATAATTCTATCCTATAAATAGAAATACATAATATATTTAAAACAAGTCGAAAATTATTACCTACAGTAATATAATCCATTTAAGCAGTTAGCAATTGACCATAGTGATAATAAAGATTAGGGATTATTACCTGAACAGGTAGATGATCAGTAACCAATTTATTACCAATGTAAACCCAGTAGGTACCTTGCTTGTTATTATTTTCTCCAAGGAGTGAAGAATTGTTTAAGGACGTATACATTTCAATAAAATATAATTAATTCATTAAACTTATCTACACATAAATATGAATAAGATAATAGTTTCAAGGAAACTTTAAATATTTTAAATGCTTAAATAATTAAAATTGCTCAACTTTCCCGGCATTAGACGTTCAAAATTTTCGCGCTACTGTGTAATCTTCTGCACAAAGCTATTGTGCGCACGTACGTGCTGATTTCTATATGTGTACGTAGTATGTTTTAGTACATATATTGTCGTCCTGGGCGTAGTAATAAAAGTGGTAAGATACTCTCGAGGACTAGCGTCCTCAAGCGTCAATCACGGCGAACATTTTACGTTCAATGGTTAACCAAATTCCTGTGCCTCAGGCCAAATATGAATTGTTAACTGACGTCCGCCAGTAAGTTATATTTTTAACATTCCGCTCAAAATCACTATACATTACCTACGCTTACACACATGTTATACAAGCCTTGAGTACAATTCTATTTCCATACATGCAATTCGAGCATTCGCATGACAGGCTGATAGTAATTTTATCTATTTTAAAATAATGTACATTATCAGTCCAAAGTATGAGACAAATTATGAGATTCCGTGATTAATTAAATATAATAATATTAAATGCAAACGATCTAATAAAGCTTGTATTGTACAGTCATTGATTGTATGATCTATTTGTATTTCATTTTATTGTATAAGTTTCATTACAGCATCGTAAAATACTTTTTTTCAGTAAATCAAATATTCTTGTTCAATAGTGTATATTGCTGCACTTGCATGCATCATACATGTTGCATTTCCTGTTTCTCATATTTTTTTTCTATAAAAGCAAATACATTAAGAATCGCTTGTAGTATAAAATACATACCAATAAATGTACTTTCACATCATTAATGATATTATAATTTTTGTTGTTTTTAAAAAAATGGTTAATTTCATTTGTTTATACTTACAGTCAACATGTTATATTGTAGAAGTAAATGTTTTATAAAAATGGATGTTAGAAATCCTTGGTTTATTTATATCTTCAGAACGTATATAGATAATGATACCATATGAAATTGATGTTACAAGTACTTACTCATCAGATATTTTTTATAATGATTAATTCCTTTGTACTATTAATTTTCTTTACTCATTAATTAGGATT